TCGCGCAGTCCTCACTGTGCCATAGCCATCCCGTGCTACAGTTGCAGCCAAAACTCTGCGGCAGCGTAACCGCCACAGTTAAACCTTTTCACGCAGCTTACACACAGCAATGATGGAACATTCGAGTGGGACAAAATTATCGTCCGAGGTAAAATACCCCTCAATCGGATCTCCGGGGAGGGGTGCCTACCTCGAGCGTATCATCGGAGAAACAAAACATCAATAAAGCCACGTTCGCGGCGTGGAACGTCCGCACTCTACTGGACAAGATAAATTCAAATCGACCAGAGAGAAGAACAGCACTGGTCTCACAGGAACTCCACCGATTAAATATAGATGTTGCCGCTCTAAGCGAAACACGCTTTGCAGATGAAGGTAGTCTCACTGAGGAGCATTACACCTTCTTTTGGAAAGGTCACCCCGCAACACACAGGAGAATTCATGGTGTAGGCATTGCGATCAAAAACGAAATCGCCACCAAGTTAACAGAAGTACCTATTGGTGTCTCCGAACGTCTTATGACCCTAAGGTACCCCATATCAGACAAAACTTACGTCAACAACATTAGTGCCTACGCTCCCACCCTTGACGCTAAAATTGAAGATAAGGATAAATTTTACCAAGCATTACAAAATGCCTTTCAACGAATTCCAAAGCACGAACGAATCATCTTGCTAGGTGACTTTAATGCCCGTGTAGGCAAACAACAGGAAATATGGCCTGACGTATTGGGAAAACAATGGAAAACGCAAATAGCAATGGTGAACGCTTATTAACAACATGCGCAGAGTATAATCTTTGCATCACCAATACGTGGTTCATGTTGATGAACAAGTTTAAAGATACCTGGAAACATCCTAGATCAGGCCACTGGCATCAATTGGACCACATAATCGTTCGAAGGATGCATCTAAAAGATGTTAGGCTCACAAAAGCTAGAATAGATGCCGAATGCGGCACTGACCACCGACTTTTAATTTCAAAAATGAAAATCCAGTTAAAACCCAAACATCCACGCTGTAAAAAGCAAAACAACATGACCAGATTGAACGTACGGGATCTAGAGAACAAGAATACCGCCGACGCCCTCCGGGAAGCCATCAAAGAATCACTTCCACCGATAACTTCAATCTCAATATTGGAAGCTGAACAAGACTGGACACAATTAAGGGATGCGATTCATAAAACCAGCGAAGCAGTACTGGGAAAGTCGAACAAAAAGAAACAACCAGACTGGTTTGACGAAAATCAACAGCATATACAGGCTTTTTTGGAACAAAAGCATAGAGCACATCAAGCCGTCACTGCAAATCCACTTAATCCAAGACTGGTAGATAACTTTAAAGCAGCCAACAACACCCTTCGAAGAGAACTGCGCCAAGTAAAGGATAACTGGTGGTCACAAAAAGCGAATCAGATTCAAGAGTACGCCACTCATCACGATTATCGTAAATTCTTCGAGGCTGTAAAAGAAGTATACGGTCCAACTAAGAAGGTAAGCTGCCCAATCATGGCTCAAAATGGCGAACTTCTAAAAGAGGAAGAACAAATCAGAAATCACTGGAAAGAACATTACAGCCATATCCTTAACCAAGAAAACAACCCCAATATGGAAGCACTAAACACAATACCTCAGTATAACAGCCTCGATGTATTAGACATCCCAATAACAGAACAAGAAATAAAGACCTCCATAAAACAGCAACAAATCAGCTGGCTGTGACGCGATTCCGGCGGAAATCTATAAGTGTGCAAGTAAAGAAATTATGGATCATCTTAAGGCTCTCTTTGATGTCGTATGGGAAAGCGGAGAGGTACCTCACGATTTTCGCAACGCGAATATAGTGAATATATTTAAGAACAAAGGAAGTGCATCAGACTGCGGAAATTACCGGGGAATTTCGCTATTGGCTATCGGCGGAAAAATTCTTGCAAAAATAATGTCAAACCGCCTGCACCCATATATAGAAAAAATCCTTCCAGAATCGCAAAGGGGTTTTCGTACCAACCGCGGCACCGTCGATTCCATATTTTCCATCCGTCAACTACAGGAAAAAGTAAAAGAGCAGGAGTCTAAACTTTATGTTGCATTCATCGATCTAACAAAAGCCTTCGACTCTGTGAACAGAGATGCGCTTTGGGCAATTATGGAAAAGTTCGGAGTACCCAACAAATTTCTTACAGTGTGTAAAAGCCTCCAAAACAACAAGTCAAGAGTGTCACATCATGGATCACTGAGAGACCCATTCCTAACAAATACAGGAGTTAGGCAGGGATGTGTCTTAGCGCCTCTCCTATTCAACATATTCATGGCAGCGCTCTCCATTATAGTGGACAGCAAACTGCAGGAGAGAGGATTGGGCATTAGATACTGATATGACGGCGGTCTGTTCAACATAAAAAGACTCAGGGCAAAAACACGTACAAAATTTATCACAGAACTTCAATACGCTGACGACTGCACTCTAGTTGCAAACACGGTACAACAATTACAAGAAATGTTGAACACATATACCTGGGCATACGAGGCTTTGAGCCTTAAGCTAAACATCGACAAAACTAAAATCATGTGCACTCACCCGGAAGATCACAACAATGCTATAAAAATCGGAGAAGAACTATTGGAATATGTGGCGGAATTCAATTACCTTGGCAGTTTGATTTCGGAAAAGGCCAATATTGACTCTGAAATTCAGCACAGGATTAGTAGCGCCTCAAGGGCATTCTGGAAATTAAAAGACAGGGTTTTTACAATCATGACTTGAGTACAAAAACAAAACTTGCAGTATACCGAGCAATTATAATCCCCACCATGATATATGGGAGCGAAACCTGGGTGCCTTACCGCCGACACATGAACGCATTGAACAAGTTGCAACAGAGACACCTTAGACAACTCTTAAGAGTCCGGTGGTTCCATCATGTCTCAAACGTATCGGTCCTTGAAAAATCTAACTGCGAGAGTATTGAAGTCATGGTCACAAAATCCCGCTTAAGATGGGCTGGTCACGTATGCAGAATGCAAGAAAACCGCATACCAAAATCTCTGCTTTACGGTGAGCTTGTGGACGGTAAGAGGAGGCCGGGTGGACAACTGAAAAGATACAAGGACATTTTCCACGAAAATTTAAAGGGAATTAACATGCAGAATGAGTGGGAAAAAGCAGCTCACAATAGAACTCAATGGAGAAGGGTTGTAAACTCAGTTAACAGCGGCAACCAAAAAGTAGAGAGGCAACAAAGCAATGAGATTTTTGAATGTCCGGAGTGCGGTAGGCAGATAACATCACGTATCGGGCTCTTCAGTCACAGAAAAGCTCATGAAAGAAAACGCCTTGCGTGACCATTTTCTTTATGTGTGTCGAATACTCGTCAGCGAGTAACGGCTGTATGTATGTATGTATGTATGTATGGTTCATAGTTTGTTTGCCAAAGTATTTATATAAATAGTATATATATATATATATATATATATATATATATATATATATATATATATATATATATATATATATATATATATTGTATTTATTAACTGTATATAATGTATATTTCATGTAAACTATATCATTTTTAAAATACAAACCAAAAATACGAGGAATAATTATGTTTTCCCTTGTTTTCCATGTATTCTACAACATATTTATTAATCCGTAGTATCTAACTAGCGTGACGTCATAAATCTCGCTCCGAGGCTGTTTTATTAGAGACGGCATTGCGTCAGACTAAGGAAGGAGCATAATGCTATCCATGTATTCATGCATGGTGGGCGGAAAAAGTACCATAAAAGCACTCTAGGGTGGGGATCCTTGACAGTTCTGTTTAACGATTCATTTGACACATTTGAATTTGACTTGAAATTTTGTGGATTTGTCAGTCTTTACGGAGCTTATTTTATGTTATTTATTATTTATTCTACTACTGATAGTTGTATAAAAAAGTGGGTTTCCGTTTTTATTTTCAAAAATATTTATGATAATTTTTTAATCGCTCAATTCCAAGACAGCTACCGCCATTATTATATGACATTTGAACAATTTAATTTTTGACACATGCCACATGTCTTCTTTATGTCACAGGGGCTGTGATAATCACTAAATTTGACTTTTAGGCTGTACACCTTTTTTTGACAGGTAGTTTTTTTCGTCCAAAAATTTTAAATATTGTTTTCTTAAAAATGCTTCCAAGGACATACCGCGACAAAATATCGCGATTTTGTAAGTCCTCCAAGATCCGAGGGGCCCCTTCGCTGTCTCAGGTCCGTGGCCCCCGTTATACAAAAGACTTCACTGTTCATCATCAGTAATGAAGCTAGATAATACATGCTGTGCAATGGTTGTAATTTAAAATGTTTATTCAGTAAAAATAAATATTGAAACCATTGAAAAATAACTTAAAAGCTAAAATATATAAAATCAATAATTATTCGATATTTTAAACAAAGAAAATTACACCTTGATTTAATTTCCTAAATAAAAAATGCCATTGACAATTACTGAGGCCTGATAATTGATAATTAAGTAAATATCTGCTTCCATTTATACTGTTTATGGTTTTGTAGTATACGTATGGTTTGCATACTCCACCTAAAAACTGCTTTATAACTACTGAACACATGTTGGCCTTGTTTGCCAGTTGAATAAAAAATTACTTATTAAGATTCGGAGGCCCCCTAAAACACGGGCCCGGGGATGCCGTCTATAGAGTGATTTCGCCAATTATGAGGATTTAACAATCGCTGATAATTCATTATCGATTGTCATTCCTCAGCCGTCTTTGACGCCGTTTTATTTTCGATCATACAGCATTTTTCAGTATTTAACTCGTAAAAAAAACGAATCAAGCATGAAATAAAAGTGTATAATCAAAATATTGAAATTTATTTTGTGTTTCTCAGGAAATCCAGGATAAACATTTTCAACCATCTTTCTTGAACATACGTTTATGGTCTTTCTGGTCTTTTTTTATAATATCTCTTCTGAAATTACATTTTTTTTCAGAAACAAGGACCGTCAAATTGAAGAGGCGGCCGAGAAAAATGAAGAGGAACTGAAATTTTACAAACAGAAAGTAAAACATTTACAGTACGAACATCAAAACGATTTGACAGAATGCAAAGCCGAAGGTTTGGTCTCTTTAAAAACCGCCCAGGATGAGCACGTGGAACAGGAAAAAGAATTGTTGAGGGATAAAAAGAATTTGAAAATGCAGTTGAGAGAACAGGAAATATCGTTTCAGGATCAAATAAAAAATATAAAAATTGTAAGACGTGGTTTTATATTTAGTTAAATTAAGATTTTTAATTATATCCCTAAACACCTCAAATGACGTAGACTATAGGTATTAGCATATTCGGAAGATTATCTTATACAGGGTGTTCCAGGCTGAGCGTGCATAGAAGTTTCTAAAGCACTACTACTTGTATATCTAGATCGGATATTTTTTGCACATCATTGTTTCACAATGAGATCTATCGATTAAAAATATTTTCAATATGCGGCACTTCCGGAAATACCGGAAGTTGACAGCAATTTTTAACAGGTACCCTCATTTTTTATTATTTATTTAAATTTTCTATAAAATTTTATGAATTTTGATATCAAACACTATATAGTAAACGCGACGAATGTTTGGGAGTGATTCATCGCTTGATGAAGTTAGAATCGACACGCGCGCTATCATCTTTTCATTAAAAACGTAAATTTTTACGTTTACGATTTTTAAATGCCCGGTCTAATCATCTGCCTGCGCTCATCCTACTTATTCTAAAATGTTAGCGTGATTGACAAAGACGATATTATATCGCGTTTCTTTGATTGATTCGTTTTTGTGTGTCAGTCCATTGATTGGTGTGCTTGCAGTGCGACCAATGGGGCATTCTATTTTATATTTATAACCAAATATATGTTTTGACAAGACTTTGACAGTTTGCTGGAATCCTTTTTTAAGTAATTTGTTACTAATAAATATTTTTGTAATATTCATCAATAATAATAAATTTAAAATTTCATGCACAAAAAATAGGAATTTAAGCGGTACCCTCCGTATACTTTTTTTTAAACGTATTTGACTATATCTAAAGCTATCTAAATAGGTATCGGCGAGAGCGAGCGACACGTAATTTTCAGTTTACGTTGAAATAAATGTAAGCCCGCGCACCGCATTAAGGTTGTCGCCCACTAGACCGTGGCGCGACGCGGCGCGGCGCCATGTAGAAATTTCTTTTGTCTGCTTGCCATGTATTTAAATGGACCAACGCACATTAGAGCGCGCAGCGCAGAAGCGCGCCGCGGGATTTCCGTCAAGAAGTCGGAAGACTTCTCTAGCAACTTTTTTCCGTCTCCCGCGTTTCGGAGCGTTGCAGTGTGCGTACTCACAAGGGAAATAATTTTGCATTCGAGTCTTTTCAGTTGGCTTTTTGACTAGGAACTAGTGATATGTATCAATGGCAGAATTGTATTTTTAAAGGTAAATTAGGCAACCGATTTTCATAAAGGAATATGATATTTTTTTTAGTCTTCCCTCACTAGAGACAGATGGACGAAATGCCTTTCTATCAAAGATTTAATATAATTGAGGGGTGTAGAGGCCAAAATTGGCAATCTCCACTTCTTAACAAAAGTGACAATCTCCAATTTTAATTTCTAATTACCTAAATATATAAAAAGATCAGGGTTTTTTGACCACATGACTAATATACACATCAGAATAAATAAGAATTATCAAAAAATATTAGTAATTTGTCTCTTCTGAAAAAAATGAGGAGTAGATATACCCGGTGTTTTTTCTAAAAAACCCTCAATTGAGGTGCGTAAAATGTTTCCTTTATATTTTGTAATACTGAAAAATGATTTTTTGTCTTTTATTAAATCTGAAAAAGATGGTAAAATTTCTCCAAACTTCTTTCTTTTTTTGTTAATCGTATGAGTCCAAACTTTTCTATTCACCCTCTCTTCCTCTGTTAGAAGAGCACAAAAATACGCGTTGGTCCGTTTTGAACTCATTGCTTTAAAAAACTAAACTACAGTAAGTAAAAAACACTTCGACTATAACTAAATAGCGTTGCCGCGTTTCAAAAGCGCGCTATAGTGGGCGCAGTCCCTTCGCAGCCGGAAAAAATTCTCTTCCCAGCGCCGCGCCGCGCAGCGGTCTAGTGGGCGACAACCTTTAGATCGGCGCGCTCGGTGCGCTTCGAGCTATCGGCGGTACTCGCGCCATCAGGCGAAATCAGAGAATGCATGGGAGGGGGCGAATAGTCTACTTTTTAGTGGAGCGGTTTTATATTAAACATGTCCGATGAATTATTAATCGTGTGTATTATTAATACACATTTCAAGTGTACGAGACCATATCATAATTAATATGCGGTTTTTTATAAAAATTTCTTATAAGCACGTAACCTATATTGTTTACTACACTTATTCAATAACTGAATTAGAAAACCTTCCGATTAAACCCATTTATTTCTCATCTCGTTTTGATTATCTTACATTATTTTGAAAATCGAATTTAAATATCGTCAAAAAACTTATCATATTATTTAATTTTTGGTTTGTTTTGACGTTAGTAATAACAGCTGATAGTCATCCTATGTTTCTATGTTGATCGCTCCGTAAAAGGTACAAATAGAGAAAATAATATTTATGTTTGAATAAAATATTTGTACATATATCTTCCGTATGTTAGAAAAAAACGGCGTCCAGTTGGATGGGAAATGACGATTGATGACATTTCCTATATAAATTTACATATAAAATGGCACCGACCTTCATTTCATGGTCATCGCTGATGCCGTTCCTTTTCGATAATACGGTACTATAAAAACTATTTATATTTTTTATTTTTTCAATTTTCTTTGACTTTTTTATTATATTTTAAGTTTTTAAAATCTTGGTTTTAAGTCAGTAGTGAATAAAACGAAACTTGTGTTTACATTTTGTTTAATGATTGACGTTTCGACTAATTTTAATTCGGTCTTCTTTAGAATCTATAATATACAATACAATTTTATCACTAACAATGTGTTTAATATATAATTTTTTCTTACCACAAACGTAGAAAATTATTTATACGTATATTATAGATTCTGAAGAAGGCCGAATTAAAATTGGTCGAAACGTCAATCATTAAACAAAATGTAAACACAAGTTTCGTTTTATTTACTACTGACTTAAAACAAAGATTTTAAAAACTTAAAATAAAAGCGATATATAAATGTTTGTAATGACACTTATTTAGATTAAAAAACTAGAAATAAAAGTTTTATTTGACTATTTTTCATATCTAGCTTTGTTTTTAAAGAACAAATTAAACCCTTTTGAGTTATACCAAATTTGTTAAAATCGGTTAAGCTAAGAGTCATGTAGTATATTTTATCCCCATCTTCCACTCTATTTCACTAATTTTATGTGGTTTGTTAAGATCTAAATATATTAATGTGTGTTTGGTTAAGATCTAAATAATATCAATTTCCATCATAAAGCATAAAATATAAAAAGTTGCATAAAAATATAAATAGTAATAATACTTTATAATCTTTTGAAATGCCGAATGAATTTGACTATATTTGAATAAACTTCTCCTCGTCTATGCTCAAATTTATGCTGGTGAATAGCTGTGTGCGACTCCAGTGCGCGGCTACAATCGACTTTCCGACCGGTCGTGCCGCTCGCGCCGCTCGCTCTCGCCGATACCTATTCAGTGCGCGCGGAGCTTATACAGGCTACAGACGGCATGGCAAGCCATGGCCAGCGTTTCAGCAAACGTTTGTAGAAGCGTTGGTCTTTGCTTGATATTCGCGCGCCGACGACCGTACACACTACATGTTTTATCTTTGCCAGTCTTCTCGAGGCAAGTGAAGGCGAACGTAAGAAAGGGTACAAATAACACAAGAAATGGAGTTCGACTCCGATGATGAAGTAATAGCAGCGTCTGCTCTACTTTTAACTCCAACTGCATTACTTCTGCCAAAAACTATTAAAAAAAGAAAAAAACGCAGGTGGTGGACTAATTCGCTCAACTTCGACATTCTCGCAATTCTCTTCTAATTCGACAAACTTCTTCAAGGGATACCATAAACTACTCAAACAAATTAGAATTTTATTGTCATTTGTTTAAATGACAATAGCAAGCTCTCTTGGACTAACATATGTCGTGTGTACGATCAAGCCCACTGGCGAGTTTCAACAAGTCCCTTTGATGTGTGTCGAAAATACTGCTTCATAGGCGAACCCTGGCCAGCGCCAACCTTACCTTTGCTTTGCCATATGTTTTGCATACACACAATGCGCCAACGTTGAAACGAGCGGACACTGGCCAAGCCTTGCCATGCCGTCTGTAGCCGCCTTAACATTAACCGTTTTTGACAGAAAAAAAATTTAAAATTTTTGGAGGAAAAAAACCGCATGTCATAAAAAATTGTATAGCCTAAATAATTAGCCTTAATAATATTTATGTTTGAATAAAATATTTGTACATATATCTACCGTATGAAAAAAACGGCGTTCAGTTGGATGGGAAATGACGATTGATGACATTTCCTATATAAATTTACATATAAAATGGCACCGACCTTCATTTCATGGTCATCGCTGATGCCGTTCCTTTTCGATAATACGGTACTATAAAAACTATTTATATTTTTTCTTTTTTCAATTTTCTTTGAGTTTTTTTATTATATTTTAAGTTTTTAAAATCTTGGTTTTGAGTCAGTAGTGAATAAAACGAAACTTGTGTTTACATTTTGTTTCGACTAATTTTAATTCGGTCTTCTTTAGAATCTATAATATACAATACAATTTTATCACTAACAATGTGTTTAATATATAATTTTTTCTTACCACAAACGTAGAAAATTATTTATACATATATGTTCCTATACCTAAGATAAATCGTTTTTAAGTTATTTAAGGTTTAGTTTTAAAGCGTATATTTTTCTGGTTTTAACGAGGAATTATTAATTAATTTTTATGACTTTAAACGTCAAGCGATGTAAAACTATATACAGGGTGCTACAAATTCGAGGTACGAGCATTGGTATCTCGGTAACCATAATAGATACGAACATGGTTAAATTGGGGCAAAGTTGCGCTTTGTGATCTTTACAAAGATGCCATCAAAGAAGTTTTAAAAATTTCAAGGATTGCTGAGTTTTTTGGAAAAAAGTCTCTTTATGTCACAGTGGCTGTGCTAATCGCTAAATTTCACGTTTAGGTTATACTTTTTTTGACAGGTGGTTTTTTTCCTCCAAAAATTTTAAATATTTTTAACAACCAAACCAAAAACAGTTAATGCTAGATAGCGTATAACCGCCGATAGTTAGCAATACTGGCGAAAGTTATGGAATTTTATACAGAATCTAAAAATATAATAAAAAATAGGGTGTTGTTAATTTAATGAAAAAAATATTTTATATCCGCTACATTTTTTGAAGCACACTTGTACTCCATAGTAGTTTTCAAATGTGTATTCTTACCGTTTCCTATAATTTTTATATCTAACTTTTTTTTGTAAACCTCGAAACAAATGAGATTTGGGCTTTAATGGACTTTACTCTATCGTTGACTCACATTGTACATTCACAATCTGAAAGTGATTTTGTATACTAGTAATATTTATGGATTTTTTAAATTCTAGGAACACCAAAAACATATTAGTGAGGCTAGAATCGAGTTTGAGGATAAAGCCAAAGAACTTGAAACCAAATACGAAAAGAAATTTCAAGATTTGAGAACGCAGTTGAACTCTCAACATGAGTAAAACACATCTATAAATATTTTTTTTTATAAAAACATGTAAAAAACATTTTTTTTAGTATGGAAATATCAGAAGTGGACGAAAGGAAAAACAACCAGATAACGGAATTAAATAAAAACCATGACAAAGCTTTCAACGAAATGAAAAATTATTATAACGATATTACTTTGAATAATTTGGCACTGATTAGTACTTTAAAGGTAAGAAATCATAGCTATAATTTATATTATGTTAGATTTTATCATCTTTCAAAGGCTTTTGCATGTGTCAGTAATTTTATATTTTATTCTTTTGCAAAAAAACTTCTTCTATTAACTTGGTTTTCCCCTTAATAGGAAAAGGAACTGTATAAAATTCTTAATTGTGTTAATTTACATTAATAATTAATCATGATTAATCAGACTTATATCATCATCATCATCACTTTCAGCTTATTCAATCATTTCCAATTATGGTGTAGCCTCCCTCACATATTTAGAAACTCTGTAGCTGGGACCATTGTTGTCTATTGTTGGCTATGCTGGCCCAAGTTATCCCTACTAATTTCCTAATATCATGGTCCCAACTCAGGTTTGGTCTTCCTCTAGGTCTCTTGATTCGTAGTGGGTACCATGCTGTAATTTTTGTGGTCCATCTGTTGTCCGTCCTTCTTGCCAGATGTCCTGCCCATTGTCACTTGAGGGATTTGATTCTGTGGATGACATCTATTACCTGGGGCTTTTGTTGTATCCACTTTATTCTTTTACGTTCGCTCTTGGTTATTCCCAAGAACAGTTAACCTAATAGGACTGCTCATTTAGCCAAAAGTGTCCGCCAGGTGCATGCGAAAACTACTCGCTTTGTGACGTCGTTGTAGTCCTTGTCATGGTTATTAGTCCTTATCCGGCAACCAATAATACACGCACGTGCATTATTGGTTGCCGAATGCAAAACGTTCATTACATGTTCATTATTTAGTTTATTTATTTAAACACCTTATATGTATGCAGTATAGGAAATTAACTGTATAAATCGTATTAAATACTCGGATAATGCATTTTTAAGAACAGCAGTTCCCAGCATCACCTTTTGCAGGCGTTCTTTTTAGAGTACTTTCATATTTTGCTTTAAAATAATTAATAAACAAAATCGTGGGCACTTAGTAAGCACTTTGTCACAAACTAAAACACAAAATGAACGTATTTATACACTCTATAGCTCTAAAAACTTTAAAGACACCTTTTTCACATTTAAAATTGACAAGATAATTAACTCAAAATTTCTCAGCTGTTATTTTTATAAGTTTACCATAGGCAACTAATAATACACACTATCATGACAAGGCTTTGACAAGGACTACAATGACGTCACAACTGTCAGCTGAAGCGCGGGAAGAGGCGAACGTACGTCTTATGAGGATAAGCAATCCTATTAGTTTACCGTTCTTGGGTTATTCCCAGCATATTTCGTTCCATTGAGCGTTGTGCGACTTGCAGTTTCCTTATAATATCCGTGTTAAGGTTGATTCTCACTATACCTTCCGTATCAGTTCCCTTCCGTTTACATAAAATATTATATTATGTAATTGAATAGGACAAGGCACACTATCCGTTCCGTTTCCCTTCCGTTCCATATCCTTGCTTTCCATACATTTTTTTGGCGCACGGACTGAAGCGTATCGGAAACAGCGTTGTCAAGTTCTTACATGTGTACCAGCTCTGTTAACATTTAGCTGATATTTATTTATTCTTTCACCTCTTAATTAAATCTATTACCTGTTTTAAAAGATACAAATTTTTAAAATAAAACTTGCATAATGATATAAATTGTACAATAAAAAGTATGGAACTAATACGGAACGGAAGCTTACGTCAATACAATAAAAGATACGGAACGGATATGGAATATATATGGAATCAACCTTTAAGTGTCCAGGTTTCGCATGCATAGGTCATGACTGGTAGTACACATTGGTCGAATGGTTTGTTCTTTAGATAAAGTGGCATTCTAGATTTGAATATGATTGAGTTTCTTCCATAAATACTCCATGCTAACTTAATTCGTCTAATAATTACTGGAATCCTAAGCTGTGTATTAGTTGCCCTAAATATATACCGGGTGTTGCATCGTCGGACGGGACATAGGAAATCCCATGTAAATTTTAATGAGGTCAATTATTGACTTCCCTAATTATTTTAGAGAATAATTCTATTTAGGTTCATTGAAGAGCACCAAAAACCCACATTCAAAAGAATAACTTTAGATATTTTTGTAACGTTTACGAGTTATCGCCGATTTCTTTTTAAATATTTCTCGTTTCTTATGGCCCTGTATTTACTTATATGCACCAGTCAAGGTAAAAGATAACTGTCAAATGAAGTTGTCATTTCAGAAATTTACCTATTTAGTGCTTTATTATTATTGAAAACTCATTCCTACATCGGAAATCTTAAAGATGTATAAATACAAATTAATATGAATTAAAGTAAAATAAACTAATCAATTACAAGGTTAATTATAGTATTATTACAATATTCAATAACTTATTAATTTAGGTACTATTAAATTGTTAGAACTTTAGGATTTAAGAAGATGTTCAAATATTCCTCCATCGACTGCTAGACAATAACCCAGGCGATCATAAAATTCTCTTCTTACATTCGCTAGTTGGTAAACTGAAATTCTATTGCATTAGGCAGAAATAGCATTTTTTAACTCGTCTAGATTTGGGTATTTTTTATCCTTGTATATCCTGTTTTTTAAATGGCCCCAGGGAAAGAAATCATTTGGCGAAATATCAGAAGACCTTGCTGGCCAATTTACTGTATGATTTAGGCCAATAACGTTTCCGTTAAAACTATTGTCTAAATATTCCCGAACAGCAAGGGTACTATGCGCCGGGCAGCCATCCATTTGGTACCAAACTTCCTGATTTTCCCTAGCGGCATCATGTAAAGCAGGTAAAATATGATTTTCGAGTAGTTCCAAATAATATTCTGCATTTAAATTTCGCGTAAGAAATAATGGCCCGATAATATTGTGTCCGAATATCCCTGCCCAAACATTTACTTTCTGTGGATATTGCGTCCTTGTTTCGACAAACCTGTGTTGGTTTTGGTTTGGTGTTTGCTCTTTCCATCATATCAAAACAAAACGCTTGCTGCCGTATTTCGTCCCCATCTCGTAGCTCTTGGTGCTTTTCATATTTGAAGGAATAGTATTTATGTCGTTTCAAAATTCGAAATGCTGTAGTGTGATCTATTCCTATTTTCATCCTCAAGTTTCCTTTGTGCTGATCTTTCCATCGTTCTCTTCCACGCACAATAAAACTTCCAAGTCGGTATCATTTCTTGCATCTTTTCTTTGTTCTTGCCTTGCTTCACATCTGCAGTTATTTATTAGGGTACCTTTGGTCTCAAATCTCTGGATAATCCTTGCGATTGTAGATTTTCCAGGTATCGGTCTATTCGGATACAGAGCAGCAAACATGTCCGACACCTTTTGATAACTATTTCCTTGATTATACCATTTAATCATCAATACTTTTTCTTCGGTAGTGTAATTCATGGCTAATATTTTCGTGGTATTGAGTAGGTATAATAATAATAAAGCACTAAATAGATAAATTTCTGAAATGACAACTTCATTTGACAGTTATCTGTTACCTTGACTGGTGCTCATAAGTAAATACAGGGCCATAAGAAAGGAGAAATATTTAAAAAGAAATCGGCGATAACTCGTAAACGGGCTAATCAAAAATATCTAAAGTTATTCTTTTGAATGTGGGTTTTAGTGCTCTTCAATAAACTTAAATAGAATTATTCTCTAAAATAATTAGGGAAGCCAATAATTGACCCCATTAAAATTTACATGGGATTTCCTATGTCCCGCTCGACGATGCAACACCCCGTATATATTCTTCTACTATTTCCAGTGCTGTGTTATTTACTAGAATGTATTTTCTGTCTACCATTTCGTTGTACATTACTTTAATTTTTGCTAAATTCATTTTGAGAGCCACTTTATTGCTGGCTGTAATTAATTTGTGCTTGTAAACTATGTCGTCAGCGAATCTTAGATGGTTAAGGTATTCTCCATCTATTCTTAATCGTTTGTTGGTCCAGTCCAGTTGACGGAAGATTTCTACTAATGTTTCTGTAAACAGCTTTGGGGATATCGCGTTTTCCTGGCATACTCCTTTGTCAGTTGGGAACTCTGGAGTTGTTTCATATATCATTACTCTTGCTTTGGCTTCTTTGTATATATTGGAGAGAGTTTCTATATAAAGTCTGTCAATACCTTGTTTCGTTAAGGTTTCTAATATTGCCTTAGGATATATCGAGTCGAAAGCCTTCTCAAAGTCTATAAAGGCTATGGTTAGTGGAAGTTCGTATTCTTTAGTTCGGCTGAGTTTCTTTTAGTGTATGTGTGATCAATCGTGCTGAAGCCGCTTCTAAAGTTTGCTTGTTCTCGTGGTTGTGCAGTGTTTAGCGTGTTTTGTATTATTTTTGTGTATATCTTGTATGTTGCTGGTAGTACGCTTATTGGTCTATAGTTCAGACTTATATACCTCTAGTAAAATAACTACTGCAAAAATAATGATTAAATAAAATTCATTGTTTTATAATGTCATAATGTCTTTATTTCCTAGAATTTCTTCTAATGCTGTAGTTTTTTATTTCTTGAGTTACTAAAAATTTTGGGAATTTCTTATCCATTTAATACTAAAGTAAGTAGAAATACACTAGTTTATTATAAAACAATGAAATCACGAGATAATAAATGTTAGATTCCTGGTATTATAAAATCATTACACATAATATACCAGACAACATCATGAGTTCGTGGGTGACTTTATTATTTTACTGCTATTCAGATGGTACCATCAATTATTATCTAATTTAATTTTTCTTCTCTTTCTAACAGTATTACTCACCCGATTGTACCTAAGGCTGAAAATTTGCTCAAGTTTTTGCTTATATAAGTACGTGTGTGACTTTTAGGACAGTTCTTGTATTTGTAATAATTTAAGGAAGGCTGAAAAATATATATTTTTTATTTATTTATTAATATCTGAAAAATTATCGAAATATATTTAGTTATATCTTAGGATTATGTAAAGTGATCTGAAAGATAGTCAAAAATGCAATAGTATACAGGGTGTTCCATTAAAAAAAATCATCCTGATCCACTCACACTTTTTTGAGAATATGAGGAATATTTTCCTGAAATGCATCCTCGGTACATACTTTAGGTTTGCACATAAAAATTTTCAAGTTATTTATTCTACGCACTATTGCCGGACCCTGTATAAAAAAATAGTCAATAAATAAAATATACTGTTCACTTTGCGAAGTTTGAAATTTTCGTCATAATTTTCGGCGCCATATTGCTTTTCACGTATTTCCTGACTTGGTCCATGAGTTGTAAACTAATAATAACAAATTTAATAACAAAATATATTAAAAAATGACAAATTTATTGTAGCCTACCCGCAGTATACAAGCAGGAATTCCACGGGATAAACGAATGTTTTGATCTATTTTGCTGCTTTTTGTTCTGTATCTTTCACGATTCCTCTGGAACTTATTCTCTGCACAGTCGAGCATGGAATTCCCATGCCTCCGATGCTCTCTATCAAACACGCGAATATTTTCGATTTAGTTACAAAATATTAATTCGGTAATTGTCCAATTACATCGTAAACAGCCGACACAGATAAAAGGGATTTTCCAGCATCTTTTTCGAGTTTGAAATACTTGATAACTTTTAATATGAGCCGTTGTTCTTTTTCGCTAAAACGGGACGGCATTTGAAACACAAATTAAATCACAAATAAGTAAATAGACACAGAAAATCACACAAAAGTATCAAAAAGTGATAAAAATCCTCTTCGAAAAATTTACGGGAAACTATCGGAGTAGTTAAAATTTAACGACAACTCTGACAGTCGGCGATACGAATTGTTCGATTTCGGCGGGTGATACAAATACGATTGCCTTTTTCTATTCGTGCACATTAGACAAGGAAGTACGATCCTTTATACGCAATGAAGGTGATCAGTATGGAAAAAGAAAAAAATAATCGTCCGGTGTAAGAAATTTAATGGACTTACATTTTTGACGCAAAATTTCCATTTCATGTGTTAAACATATATAAGAGAGAGAATGACAATCTGTGACGAAAGTTTCAAACTTCGCAAATTGAATAGTATAATACACAATTCACCTCATACTAAGTACTTATACTTTTTGAAAAAAATACAGGATTAAAGAATTCTTTAATATAGTGGTCAAACCAATTGCGATACTATATGAATCTTAATATGTCAGATTTACCTTCCTCTAATATTAAGACAATTAAAAAAATATGAGATTAGGTAATTCATTAATGTTTCAACATTTTTTTATTTGTCGGCAGGATCAAATGGAAGTATTACGAAAGCAGAACGACAGAATGACTAAGCAAGTGGCTGACCTAACTGCCGAGAATAAAAGACTGATCACGCCTCTGAAACAAGCTCTGGATGACGTCAAGGAGTACAAAAGACAGTTACAGAATTACGAGAAAGATAAAATTTCGTTGGCTGTAAGTAAGTATATGAGTAGGTTATAAAAATAATGATTTTAAGAATAAAGATTTGTGTTTTGATAAGAAAATAGTTTGTATCCTCGTTTAATGAATTTTTGCATCTTAAAAATTATTTGAGTCGAATTCTTTTATTTTTATTGATGCATTAGCTAATATCTTTGATTTTTTCATGTTGAATTGTAGTGCTTTCCTAATTTATATTTACTAATTATTATATATCTATATACAGGGTGAGTTTCCTACGATTATCTCTATGGTTATCTCGGAAACTACTGGAGATAGAGAGTCGGTTAAATAGGGAAAGAATTGCAGTTTTGTGGGGTCATAAATATGCGCCTTTCAGATTTTTGAAAAAGTTCATGGCTTACTAGATATTTAATAAAAAACAAATTTTGGCTATTTTAAAAATTGTCCCTAATTCCATTATAATCTATTTTAGACAAAAAGTTTTCAGATAAAAGTTGTAGATACTCACATTCCTAATGAGTTTGTGTTCTCCGATTTTTTCTAAAGCTTGTCATTTTTGACATGCGACACAAACATGTGCCTTTTTTAAATGGAAACCATAGTTGACCATGACTTCATAAAAATCGCCATTTTTTAAGCCTTTCAGTGATATAAGCTGTAATATGTTTTTTTTCACAAAATTACTGAGTTATAGCCAATTCTTATCTTTCTTGACTAATTTCACTTAGTTAGCCATGGAAACAAGTTCAATCGTCAGAAATGTGAGACTGTTACATCCAAACTTTGTAAATTAAAATAAGCAAAAATTGTAAATATGAAGTTTTCAAACGAAGAAAAACGTAAGGATTATTGGTTCAACTTTTCTTGGCCATACAGTTTCGAGGATACTTTGACCGGTGAACGTTACTTACGTTTTTTAGAGAACGGTTCAGACATGTTAGAGACATAGTTCAAGACATGTTAGAAAAGTTAAATTTATCACCTGACCTATCTATATTTTAAATTTTTTTATGCGGTATGGTAAACAGAGGCGCACCAGGGGGGGGCCTGGGGGGATTAGCCCCCCCTGTTGACCGGTGCGTGTCGTATAAAATTGGTTTTAACCTCACATGAATCTTATCTTATAATGGCCTAAGCCCCCTCCCCAAAAGACTTGAGCCCCCCCCAAAAGTATATGTCTAGTTGCGCCACTAATGGTAAACAACAAGGTTTATAAAAGAAGTTATGAATTAAGACAGGCACTCGAAGAGGCGGTACAGGAGAAGTTTAATTAAGTCGACCGGTCGTTCGAAGAAATTCAGTTTTAAAAAGATGCATTTATGTACTAAAAACAATGGCGGATTTTTTGAAAATATTATCTTTTTAAGTTTTAGTTTGTGTAATGTAAACTGTAACGAGCCATTTAATAATATATTTTGCCTTTTTATAAGTTATAAATCATAACAAATTTATTTATTTATTTATCGTATGGCTCATATACATGCAAGAAAACTAGACATTTAAACATAGACATAAAATAAACTACAATGTAAATGAAAACATTACAATGTAAATATAAAAAAAACAAGTATAATATAAAAAGACAACATAAAAAATGTATTTACGAACACTATATATTAACATCTAGATGCCCTATCCATTCCAAAGCGGATGGAGAAGCCTCCAGAAAGTCTCTCCAGTCTTCACCATAAGCGCGTAGGTTGCACTCTCTAGTTATGTGATGGATGTTTTGGTGAGGGGATCCGCAATCACATTCTGGGGAAGGTATTTTTCCCCACTTATAAAGGGAATCCGCACATCTTCCATGGCCAGAGCGTATCCTATTCAAAGTTGACCATGTTTTCCAGTTTAGATCGGTACCCGGTGTCTGGCAATAGTTATTTTTGAACCAGGAGTATAGGTGCGCATCGGCCATTTCTCTCCATAACTGAAGCCACAGTTCTCGAGAATTGTAGTTACTGATTTTTAATTGTTCAGCTGTTCGCAAAGGTGGATTCCTCGACTTAAGTGTATTCACCTGTAAAGCAGGAAGTGTTTCATGGACAGGTAGCGTTGGGGTAGCTATTATTTTATCAAATTCTCTAAGAAGAGCCTCGTTTCTGCGTAGATTTGGAGGTAGGATGTTACTCAGAACTGGAAGCCAGTAACTAGGGGTGCATCTGATTGTCCCTGTAATCAGCCGCATGGTGTTGTTCAGCTGTCTGTCTACGAGATTTGTGTGGTGGCTGTTCAACCACACGGGTGCACAATACTCTGCCACACTGAATACCAGACCAAGGGCGGAGATCCTAAGTGTTGTTGCTTTTGCATAACAAAATAAGAACACCATGCCAACTAAGTGAAATTTGTCAAGAAAGATAAGAATTAGCTATAACTCAGTAATTTTGTGAGAAAAAAAACATATTATAGCTGATATCGCTGAAAAGCTTAAAAAATGGCGCTTTTTATGAAGTCATGACCAACTATGGTTTCCATTTCAAAAAACATATGTTTGTGTGATATGTCAAAAATGACAGGCTTTAGAAAAAATCGAAGAACACAAACTCATTCGGGATGTGATTATCTACAACTTTTATCTGAAAACTTTTTGTTTAAAATAGATTATAATGGAATTAGGGACAAATTTTAAAATAGCTAAAATTTGTTTTTTATTAAATATCTAGTAAGCCATGAACTTTTTCAAAAATTTGAAAGGCGCATATTTATGACCCCACAAAACTGCAATTCTTTTCCCATTTAACCGACTCTCTATCGCCAGTAGTTTCCGATATACCCAAAGAGAACATCGTAGGAAACTCACCCTCTATAGTGCTGGCCCTAATTTACATTAATTTCAAGAAATGTAATTATTATTTTTGGAAAAAAATACTGCATATTCTTTTTAGTAATTGTCATTGCCATTTGATATGGGGTTATAATTTTATTGACGGACAAAATTAAAATTTGATTGTTGCTGTAGAACAAAATTTATTTCTTTTACTGCAAAAATGCCTCAAAGATTTAACCAAAATGAACAGGAGCTCGTTGCTAAGTTTATAAATTATTTTTCTTGAGAAAAAGGTGCTGGTAGGACAGTCTTGCCCGTGAACGCCGTATATGAACTATAGAAATTTTAAAACATTTTCCGATGCACGTCATTAATCACATTGACACTAAAGCCTATAAACCTGAGTAAATGAAATTTTAGCAAAAATGTTTAAATTTGTTGACTAATTTAAAATACCAAGCAGCTCTTCATTATAATTTATAGAGCAAATGATTGTAACAGATATTTTATTTAGATTAAAGCTGCAAAAATTAGTTTAAACCAATTTTTATTATCGCCTTGTTGGTCACATTGCGCCATGTTCAGCAATGTTGTCGTGTATTATTTGACAATTATCCTAGTATCAGTCATTATTTTGTATAATATAGTGTTGTTGAATTTTTGGGAGTAATTTTCATTTTTTGCCGTTTTTCATAGTTTTTTTTCTCTTAAATTGTACTTCTAAGTACGAACAGTTCTTTTAAGAACTAAATTTTCGAGATTCTTCATTGCATTTTTTAAATTGTGGATGAAAATATGCCGAAGTTTTTAAACAGGTCCTTTATTACCCTTGAATGCAGTCAGAGAAGTAAGTTTGATTGGTAAGCACATTACACTTTCAAGTTATTTCTACTTATTTCAATTTGTAGCGAGTAGGTGCTGCCTTAAAAAAATTATATACTAAAAATATATTGTTTGTTGAGGTTATTAAAAGGTAAGGTTGTCTCGCAACTTTTGGACCAATAGGAGCGAAGCGGAATATCATCACTGTGACGTACACAGAACGTATAAAATCATAGATAAAAAGAATAAAGAATAGAATGCAACGGACAAAGAGAGATATATGGGCAATGTAATAAATAAAAGAAACATCAAACAACTAAAAACTATGGACGCCATACATCATATACACAATGAATATCGATTCGGAAATGCACCGTCGGACTGTCGGCAGTTTTTATCCATTTATCTATGAGCGGTAGCATCCCGTAGTAGATGACGTTTTCAATAATGGCGGATCGAGTTACGAGACAACCTTACCTTTTAATAACCTTGATTGTTTGTCACTTTTAAATTAAGATTCATTTCATAAATCCATTACAATCTGGCAGCGCTGTCGCCATCGCTTGTCACTCAAAGGTGATGACGCGCATCGGAAAATGTTTTAAAATTTCTATAAGTACAATGCAAAGGTGTAATATTCCTATGTAAAATACAAATTGATAATGTTTTTAAATAATATAGCGAATTGCTGATGCTTTAGACATAGGAATTTCAACAGTCCAAAAGATTGGAATTAAAGGGATTGTAACTGATGAAGAGATCAAGAAAAAATGAATAAATGCCGAAAAAAACGGAACTCGCTCAATCAATAATATAGGAACGTATTTAAAATTTTCTAAACAATATAAACTGATCTCAGACATACCCTAAAACTCATATTTGATAAGTAATGATGAAGTAACGGTGAACGATGGCTGAACAGTCTTTATATATAATTTCCCATCATTCTCATTCTCAACTGTCAAACAAATCAATATTTATCTTTTTTTATAATAGGGCTAAACTTAGTTTAAATTAATTAGAAAAAATAAAAAAAAAAATTAGTTAAGTTTTTAAGTTATTTTTCTTTTAAATGCGACTAAAATGCATTTACTAATAAGTTGTGGATAGCAGAAAGCTTAAATAAGTTTTAAAATATTAATTTATTTATCCCAATCGTAATGCTCATCTACCACAAACCGCGTTTCTATTTTGTTAATATTTAAACTAATTATGTATATTAATAGATAGGAAACAATGTGTAGATGAATGCACGAATGCATGAATGCATGAATTCAGTTCTTTTATTAAATACCTAGTACAAATTTAATGGCTTTTTAAGTATATTCATTTATGCTCAATAAATTCAGTTTTAAAAACGATTTGGATCTTAGACAGAGTATCTTAGAATAAAATACAATTTGGGTATAGATCAAATCTCTTATTTAAAGCTCATTGATTGAAAATTAATGGTTTTAACACAAACATCGGATACAATATGTCCCCGGATTGTCTTTAGAAGATGAAACACTTGTTTATTACACAGGCCGACAAAAAAAAATTTTTTCGATGTAACACAAAGCTCAATAGGATATTGTGGTAGAATGAACCTATCTAATCACGAAAGTGGCAAAAAAAAAGTCGTAACACGTAAGGTTTTTTTGTTACATTAATAAAACATCATTCAATATTACAATATTCAATATATTAAGATAGCTATTCAAAACATGATTTAAGAACTTCTTAAGCCTATATACCGATTATATTTTATAGTTTACACTCCTCAAACATTACTTATACCTAAAAAGTACAAAACAATCGAAACGAGATCAAAACATAAACAAAAACTTTTACTTTTTCCTTTTATGAGGGACCGCGTCTTCTCTCTTCAAAAACCAACAGTAATCACCCATCATGGCTGGATCCCATCGTCCTTGATAACGAATTTCCATTGTCCTTATGTCTTGATGGAATCTCTCACCTTGCTCATCACTGACAGCACCCATATTTTCAGGGAAAAATGACAAATGAGAATGGAGAAAGTGAATTTTTAAAGACATTCGGGCACCAAGCGATTTATAAGCATCTAAAAGCTCATTAACCAATTGTTCGTAGTTCGCATCCTTATTGTTTCCCAAAATCCCTCACTACACTAACAAATGAGGTCCATGCTCTGAGTTCCTGCCTGGTAAGCGTGTCTGTGAAATTTGTGTCGTCCAACAATTTCCTGATTTGTGGTCCAATAAAAATACCCTCTTTCAATTTGGCATCACTCAACTGGGGAAAGACTTGCCTTAGGTATTTAAATCCATCACCTTCTTTATTCATAGCTTTCACAGAAGTTTTCATGAGGCCAAGTTTGATATGAAGAGGAGGCAGGAGGACGTCTTTGGGGTCTACAAGAGGGATATACTTGACATTTTGGGAACCCGGTTGAAATTCACTTCTTTCTGGCCAAATTTTCTGTACATAATGATGATTTACTGCACGACTGTCCCACAAACAAAGAAAACAGCAATATTTTGTAAATCCTCCCTGAAGTCCCACTAAAATTCCTATAACTTTCAAGTCCCCACATATCTGCCATTTATACCTGTTGTAGTTGATTCTATCTAAAAGCATGCGCATATTTTCATAAGTTTCCTTCATTGTCACTGAATGGGCAACTGGTATAGAGGGTTTTAAATTTCCGTTATGCAATAACACAGCTTTTAGGCTATATTTCGACGAATCTATGAATAAGCGCCACTCACAGGAGAATGTTCTATAGAAAGTTCCTGCATTAAACCATCGATATCAGTACATGCACACAACGAATCCTCCATACTGTAGAATGCAGAGAACGGAGCATTTCTTTTCTAAAAGTGGTGATTTTTGTTTCATTGGCTAACAGATTCCATTCCTTAAGCCGGGATCCAAGAAGTTCTGACTGCTGCTTTGATAACCCCAAGTCACGCACTAAGTCATTCAACTCGCTTTGAACAATCAAATGTGGCTTGTCGGAACCGCCCTCTGGGGTAAAGGTAGGATCAGTACACTGGTCTCCAGAGCTGTTTGATTCAATATCTTCCTTATCTTCCAAAACAATACCTTGCCAGTCTAAGGGCGCGATCGGCACTGGGAGATCTGCACCATGAAGAACAGGTCGTATGGCAGACGGCAAATTGGGATACTCGATCTTGTGCTTTTGTTTTTGGAAAAACCTTCAGTTTTCGTCAGGCAAAAATAGCAATCGTCAAAATGGTTAGTTGGTTCTCGCCATACCATTGGAACCGCAAATGGCATTTTTTCCTCTTCCCTTTCATCCACTGCACAAGCGACACGCTACAAGTAACGCAGCACACATGAGGAGCCCACTGCTTGTCTTGATCTCCAACCAAAACTCCAAAATACTTGAAGTAGGCTTTCTTCACATTTTCAGAAAATGGTCTGGCTTGTGATTGCACCATAAATTCTCCACAAATGTAACAAAATCGATCAGGAGACACTTTACAACTGCGGCGCGTTTGACTTGACATTTTTCGTACTATTTATCTACGCATAGAACAACTCACGTCGAAAATCAACTGAAAACTGAACTCTCTTATGTTTTTCACAATATATTATAGTGCACAAAATGCGTCCCTTTCAATCATCCCATCATAAAATTTACCTGTATGTAAACGAATCTACCTAGACTTAATACCTGACATCTATAAAATTGACTACCTGCAAAAAAGAGGCGTAATTAGGCAACTGAAAAGTGGTACGTGTAGGAGCTTCAGGAGTATTTTTTCTGTTATTAGAAGCATATTTTTATGAAGAAATTCTGCAACTGACTCGTGTTACAAAAATCATGTCGGCCTGTGTTATTGATATTTTGGGAAAATTGCATTCTTTATAAACATTTTTGCTTGTCCTAAAATGGTTTATCCCGTTTATATTTTTCCAAATTTCCATACCGTTTGAGAAAAAATTAAAAAAAAACAAGAAAATGTATTATTATTTTTGTGCTCATGCATCTGTAGATGTTAGTAATGTATGGCAATCGCTTCTTTGATTTTAAAGAAGCGATTAGATAACATAACATAAATAAACATAACATACGTAAAAATTATACATATACATATTAAAAATAATCATACAGAAAGTTTGGGGCTTTTTGGTTTTACCTTATTAAGTAATTGTTATCAGGTATGTATGGTAGTATGTTATTAGTAATGTATGGCAATCGCTTTTTTGATTTTAAAGAACATAACATAAATAAACATAACATACGTAAAAATTAAAAATAATCATATACAGCAAGTTTGGGGCTTTTTGGTTTTACCTTATTAAGTAATTGTTATCAGGTAGTTAATTGTTAATTTTGAAGTTAAAGCTGTACACTGGTGCGATCACGGCCGCGATCGCGATCTCCACGCGGCCGCGGCCAAACCTATGAGCCGTTTCACATTGGCGCGATCGAGTTTTGGAGACGAAGCGGCCTGGCGGCGTTCTATTCTGCGGTGGCGATCAGATTCAACTTGTCGAGTTTGATCGCGTGATCGCGACCCAACTGATAGGAATTTTCCGTTATTTTGTGTATTTTTTCTTGTTGCAATTTAGAAATGGAGTTACCAGAGCAGCTAATTAAGGCTACACACTATTAATTAGCACTCTTAATTAAGGCTACACACATACTAAAATACACAAAATTCTATATGATTTATCCGATCCAAGTTACAAAAATAATAGAATTAAAAATAAAAAGTTTGAGACAAAATTGGAGTTGCAATTGGATTGGATAGTACAAATGTATATATTTCTATTGTTTAAGTTTAAATATTGTAGGTAAATATTTAAGAATGTTTTTTTTTCGGTATACATAATTCACATCTTTAATTTGTACCTATGTATACCTACAGGATGGCGCACTACATATAGGTACGGCCATGAACGTGAACGCGTTGGTGTGTGCTAGAATGATCGCTCATGTTATCGCTGCCCTGATCGTGATCGTGATCGCGGCCGTGATCGCACCAGTGTGCGTGTAGCTTTACTTGATATAATGTCATTTTAACAGAACGTCAACGGTTTTTGTAGACGTATCTGTTTTAAAAAACTAAAGTGTTCTCGAATAATTAAATTTAAATATTCTAAATAGTTTTTTTCTTTGTATTTTTTTGCTTCCGATGACGGAACGAGATAAACTTTCCGAAACATTAAGCATTTTTTTGTTCGTTAGGTAAATTTGTATATTTTTAAACCTAACTTCTGACAAGTAGGTAGTTTCCGTTTGGGATTAACGCAGAAGTGTTTACATAAAATAACTATTTTATTTTGTAGATTTTCTTGCAGTGCAGTGGCGAAATACCCATATAGGATTTTTTGGAGAGATGAATCCGTTACATAGGTATAGACATTTATTACAAGAAAATATAGTTGAATATTTTCTAAATCTATAGTCTATTTAGAAAGCGTTTAATTAATTAGAAAGCGTTTCTATGATAATATAATTTCGATTTCATTCTTTTTTTTCAACTATATTTTCATGATTTTCTTAATTTTCTCTAAAACGGTATCGAAGGGTGCCTCACTGCCAAAATATCATTTTATTTGCAAGCGACTGCCAGGGACTGCGAAGAGGACTGCCTATGACTGATGCAATGTAATTGTAGGCGACTGCCGTAAGACTGCTATTGACTGCCAGTGACTACCAAGAAAATGTATATGTCCCCAATTCCAATAGTGAGACACCTCTCGGGAAATTTGGAAAAGTGTAAAAGTGACAAAGTTGGAAAGACAATTCGGAGACATATAGTAGATTTAAATTTAAAATGCAATTTTTTTAATTAAAAATGCCCAAAGTTGACATATTATATGTCGTTCTATTCAGAATATCAATTTCTGTCATATAAATTAAAAAAATATTGGGGTACCATTTAAAAATCAAAAGTTGTAGTAATTTCCGGTGAAACAGGAAGTTATCGAATAACGATAATAAATCGATAACTTTCTGTTCGATCGAAAGTAATTATTGAATACATCAATCAATCCCGATATATGTCGTATACTAACATACCAAATATCGTTTTACTATCTGAAAAAAATGAAAAAAGTTATAGGGGTTGAACCCCTTTTGGAGGTCACCCGGTACTCGGTATAAAAGTTATTAAGAAAAATGATTCCAATTATGACAAAATAAATGGCCTATTGCAGAAAAATAATTTTGATCATGTCACATTCGCCATTTTTAAAAACCGTTGAAAGTGACACGGTACCTTTCTGAGTGTATCGACCAAAATTTACATTTAATTTCCAATTTTCTTGGTATTAACTCAAAACGACAAGTTTAAGCTTGACAATCAAGACTTTTGTTGTTTCAGAACACCAAAGCCAAACTTTCGGAAACATTGAAGGACTTGGAAGATCTCAGATGGTCTAACGATGCACTGGAACTGAGGTTTATGCAGGTAGTTATGGACATTGTTTTTATACCCTTGTTAATTTTTAATCGATTTCTTAAAATAGCTACAGAAAGAAAGAGATGAGTTACATAATCGTTTCGTCAAAGCTATTTTGGAAGTGCAGCAGAAGACCGGTGTGAAAAATATACTTCTGCAGAAGCGAATCCTAACCTTAAGTCAAGTAACTGAACATAAGGAGGTTGTAATCGGCGAATTGACAGCTGCGATGATGAACCCACCTGAAAAAACTAATCAGCAACTAGAGGTATGCCTTTAAATTTGGATGTGTTTTAATTTTTCTTTTGATGGGCGTTATGAGGTTATTTTTTGTACAGGGTGTCCCACTAAGAATAGCTCTCGGCTGTATCTCGGAAAGTATTAGCCGTACCGGCTGCGGAAAAAAATATTTATAACTAAAGAGGCTATGAGAAATTGCTGGAAATTATTTTCAAGTTTGTAGAACGACCGCTAGAGGGCGCAACTGCAACAAAAAATAAGAAAATGGAGTTTTTACACCATTTTGCCTATATAAGGTGTACTATAAGTAATAGCCTCATAATCTTCAGTAAATTTTGAATATTTTTTGTTAGAGCCATTTTCCCCTATCTACCAAAATAAAGTGGTGGGTTGGAAAAGGTTAGTTCTGTTTTTATTTAAATATTAATAACTCTGGACTGGATGATCGGAATCCAACAAGCGAGGGCCCATTTAAAAGAGCGTTTCTTACTCTATATTGTACCATATAAACAATAATAATAAGCTTTTGAACGTAGACGCTAGGGGGCCTTGTTTTACAATTTATCAAACATAGCGCGTTTTTTCCAAAAAATTAAATGCAATAGTATATGTAATTTTAACTGATAGTAAAGAGTAGTAAAAGCTTAAAAAGTCAGCGAAAACCGCACCATGATATCTTCTCTCAAACCGAAGATATTAGCAAAATTATAATAAATACCAAAAAATAAGCCCTTAATTACCTTATTTTTACAACACGGTATCAGTAGCCCTCTTGATAATGCCCATTCCAACAAAAAATAAGATAGAAACAGTTAGTTTATTTTAAAATCGACGAAATACCAGAATACCATAATACCAGAGGTATTAATATCTAATAATTAAGATATTAATAACAGTGAACAAGCAACGATGATTCAGTGAAGTCATGGTAGGCTTTGGAAAAAAGCTTTTCACGTAATAGTATAAACGTCAAATTGTTATTAGATCAACATTTTGATAGTCTTAGCACGTTTTTTATCTTTTGATTGCTTTTTCAAAATGCCAACAACTTCAACTACTTCAAATAATGAAGGTATTTTGAAAAAAGCAATTAAGAGATAAAAAAACGGGGGTAAGACTTAAATGTTTATCTCATAACCGTTTGACGTTTATACTATTACGTGAAAAGCAACTTTTTTCCAAAGCCTACTATGACTTCACCGAATCATCGTTTCTCTCTTGTGTGTGTTCACTGTTATTAATATCTTAGTTATTACATATTAATACATTTGGTATTATGATATTTCGTCGATTTTAAAATAAACTAACTGTTTCTATCTTATTTTCTGTTAGAATGGGCATAATCAAGTGGGCTACTGATACCGTATTGTAAAAATAAGGTAAATAAGGGCTTATTTTTTGGTATTTATTATAATTTTGTTAATATCTTCGCTTTGAAAGAAGATATCAAGATGCGGTTTTCGCTGACTTTTTAAGCTTTTACTACTCTTTACTATCAGCTAAAATTACATATCGTCGGTGAAACGTGATAAACTGCTAACTCCATTATTCCTAATTTTACAGGAGAGCAAAAAAACGGTACAAAAAAATATGTACACATGTGGGAAGTATTTTGATGCGTTAATATGATAAAGAGATAAGAATTTTATTTGCTGGGGAACAATAAAACTCAATATTTCGTGTTACGTCATTTTTTTCAGACACAATAGGGAGATAGCAGATATTCGTCTTGCAGAAATAAGAAATAAAAATATACTTCTGGAGATAGCAACCTTTATTGTTTGAAATTTTGAAAGTGGAAATGAATATTACCCAAACAGATTTACAAATAATCAATTAAATTTAAAAAATATGATATTCATAACCATATATTTATAATATTGTCGGTCTAGAAGCAAAACATACAAGTCCAAAAACGAATAAATTTTTAATGAAAATTTTAAAAATTTTTGAATTTTTAAAGAACTGAAGTAGCAGAATTTTGAACTTGATATTTTTTTCTTTGGACATGAATATGAAAATAATTTAAAAATTAAACTTATAATTCTTAGAAGATATGGTAGAATCCTTCCATGCTTATCCTAATTTTTATACAACGGTAGAGTAGACCGAGCTTGGAAGACAGTGCGTGATTTTATTAAATTTTTATTACTTTTCTCCTTATTTTTTTAATTTTTATAAAAATTATGTATCATTTACGTGAAAATACGTTGAAAAAAATAAAACTGATTAGGTATTATAGAAATTCTTGTACAAGTAGGTAATGCTATTTAAACTATTTATAGCACGCCGATGAATTGCTCGTATTTCGTTTTTCCCCTTACCCTTTACGGATTATATAGATAACTATTAGGGGGGCCCTTTATAGTTCATTAATAATTAATGAGAATTAAGAATAATTATTATTCTCTTATCAATATTTGCTTTTGCATTGCATTATGGAATTTGCATTGCATTGGTTTACCTTGCATTAGGGTAGTTCCCTGATTTCTATACAGGGTGAGTCTTAAATAAGTTCAAATATGTGCAGGGCTGGTAAATCTCGATAAAAGAAACATAATATTTTCTCTTTACTGTTTTTTTCAAATAAATCCAAAATAACTGAGTTATTTCACTTTTAAAATTTCCAATTTTTTGCTATAATTTTGAGAATCATTGGATTTTCTTTCTTGTAAATTTAATCTACTACCTATGTTACCATATTACAAACAAAGTAGGTTTTTAAACTAAAAATTAAAGAAAAATCCAAAATTTTTTTTTTTTAAATTCCAAATTTTCAAAAATTCGCCCAAGAAACCTCATAATCGTGTTTCTTGGGTCGAAATATACTACCCTAAAATATTTGCACTTATTTAAGACTCACCCTGCATATAATAGGAAAAAATTGACCAAAACGTAAGACGAAAAATACACAAAAAAAACACACTAGCCCCTCCTTACATTGCCACCCGGGCCCCTTTGGCCTAGTGCGACCCTGGATCGACGTACTGTACTAAAAAAACATACGACTACGACTCTGTGTGTTTGCTTTAGCGTGATCGTAACGAAAATTACGGAGATAGCAGCATTTCGGAGGCTATTTCAGATCACTAGGAGTTAGCAGATATTATTGAGTTAAAATAAAAAATTTTCTTTAATGGGAAAAAATATGTTTGCTTTCCCTACTTATAGAGTATTTTTTTCTCTTTCTAATGCTATAAAAAAACTTATTAACGTAAAAAATGGAGTTAGCAGGTTATCACGTTTCACTGACGATATACTTTCGTATTTCATTTTTTTGTAAAAAACGCGCTATGTTTGTTAAATTGTAAGAAAGAGCCCCCTAGCGTCTACGTTCAAAACCTTATTATTATTATTTTTATGGTATAATATAGAGTAAGAAATGCCCTTTTAAACGAGCCCACGTTTGTTGGATTCTGATCATCCAGTCCGGAGTTATTAATATTTATATAAAGATAGATCTAACCTTCCCCCACCACTATATTTTAGCAGATAGGGGAAAATGGTTCTAACAAAGAAAATCCAAAATTTAATGAAGATTATGAAGCTATTATTTATAGTACCCATTATCTAGGCAAAATTCTGTAAAAATTCTATTTTCTTATTTTCAATAGCAGTTGCGCCCCCTAGCGGCCGTTTTACAAACTTGAAAATAATTTCCAGCAATTTCTCATAGCCCCATTATTTATAAATATTTTTTTCCGTAAGCCCTACAGCTAATACTTTCCGAGATACAGCCGAGAGCTATTTTTAGTGGGACACCCGGTACTTATTTCTCATTTAAAATTTGTCATTGATAAGTAAAAAAATAGACAAAGCTACGAAAGCGTAGGGCTGCGATGTCAACACTGAAATTTATTTTCACCAAAAATTTACAAAGTGTAAATTTACATTTTTTCTGTAAATTTACATTCTCTCTAAATTTACACTTTTTCTGGAAATTTTCACTTTTTTATTGTAAATTTACACTTTTCCTGTCAATTACTACCTACTTTAGTGGCTATACTGCTAATGAATCCGCCGTTTCTCCTTACAAGAACATTTAAAATGTAGTGTTATGAAGAAGAGAATAACATGAACCCGATCGTATTCGTTAATGACTGAAAATTATATAATATTATTACTAAAATATGAGTTATTAAATTAAAAATAAAACGTAAAAATCTTTAAAAAATGATATATGTATAAGAAATATATTGTTTGTCACTTTTAAATTACGATTTATCTCATAAATCCATCACAATATGGCAGCGCTGTCACCATCGCTTGTCACTCAAAATTGATCACGTGCATCGGAAATTGTTTTGCGATTACCATAGGTATAGTTCATATCAAATGAACTTTTACTCACGTGATTAAGCTTGACCGGCACAGCATTGCCCTCTTTTACATATTTTCTTTTAATCAAAATATTTTAGGAAACAAAAATAAATTAACTATAAATATATAAACATTTATTATTTACATCAACAAAACTCACCATTTTAGCAGCACTTAAGAGATATAAAGGGCCATATCTACCGCTTTCCCGTTCAAAATATTCTAATAAAGTTGCGGTGAGTTTTTTACGGCTATTAAGCTATCTTGTACACTTCGCACTAAAAGAGGTTCTACAAAGAATAATGTTCCATTGCAAGGCCTGCTAGTAAACATTTTTAAGCTTAAAGTATCACACCACTATTTACTTACCACTTTTTACTCGTAATACAAAACTAAAGTGGAAAAACGAATGACAATGTTAAATGTGGCAACTTAACGTTTTTTACAGAGCTCCCACCTGAATTCCCGAATATATCCATGGTTGGCAACAATGAATTTAAAAATCGCGCCCTCGATTAAGCAACTAAAAGTTTAATTGATATCAAATATATATAGTGTTTTTATAGCAAAAAAGGCGTTGACCTTTTGTTAATCTAGTTAATTTAAAATCTGATTACACCTATGGAAATAATTCTCATCATTCTTTTTATTGTTGTTGCATAGAAACGCATTATGCATTCGTTAATAGAGTATCGTCAACTATTTTAT